AAGGACAGTCAGTTTTGCTCTTTTCACTCACACGCAACAGACTCACACACATACAAAAAAAGGAGGGTGGGGGTGTGACTGGGAACGGGAAGAGGCAGAGCTGGAACCTCCCCACGGCTGTCATGACTGGCCGATCAGAAACAGTACATCACAGATCACTTGGGACACCATAGAGTTCATAAGTGGGGACACCGAGATGTCCAGTAGCCGCGACTCGTACAAAGTGAACTCTGAGTGGTTTTCCTCGACCTTTGCCAGGGCGTGCAGGGCACGGGCCGCCCGCCGCATCATGTCTACACTGGTGGGCTCAAACTGAGGCCCGCCCTGCATTTGTAGCAGGGAGCTCTGGCTCTGCTGGAACTGTGTGGCAGCTAGGCTGTCCTCCAAGAAGCCCAGTAGGTTACCCACGCTGGCTTTCTGTACAGCAATAGCTCGTGCCGCTAAACTGTCACCCTGCGCAAAGTTAGCCAACAGGACAACAGCCATTTCCCTGCAAACAGCCACCTTGCGTTCTCCAACCAGGCGCACCAACGAGCCGTACAGCTTCTCCAAGCGGCTGAATGGTGGCGTTGCCAGAATGAGGTCGACGTTGTTGTCCTGGATGCTGAGCTTGCTGAGGGTCTCAAGGACCAGTCTCTGGGGGGACAGTGAGCCGTGGGGCCCCAGTGTGGGGAAGGGGTCCAGGGCCTCCGCTGAGGGGCAGACGGCCCAATGGAGAAGGCCGTCCAGCAGCGGCAGGCATATACTCTCCGGGTAGATAGAAAGGTCCAGCTGGCCTGAGATGTTCGCAAGAGTTACCAGGCAGTTCTCCCTTAACACCTCGAGGCAGTCCCACCACCACTCGTCTCTCTCACAGCTCACGCCTTCATCTTCTTCTTCCTCTTTCTCGTAGGTGACTGGCGCCTGCTTGCGCTCGGGATGCCTGTGGTGGAGCAGCACCAGGCGGCCCAGCAGCAGCAGGAGACCGGGGTGTTTTGATAACTCTAGGTCATTCCCAGGAACAAAGGAAAGGCTGCGTACGATGTTTGAAACACAGATGCAGCGCCTGGCAAGCGAGTCCTGCCAGTCCGACAGAGTGCTGAGTGGCGTTTCGTCTTTGCTGTGAGGTTCGTCCTCCAGGATCTTGATGTTGCGTCGACTCTGGAGTTCTGGGTTGATGCTGAACAGGTACTTTCCATTCTCCTTCTGCTCTTCTGCACCTCCACGAACAACCTCTTCTGTTACCGACCCCGGTCGAGCAGATAGCACATCATCGATGGTGGCAGTGACTGGAGCACCAATGGGAAGAGAAGGAGGGGGGGTCTTCTCCACTGGTGACCTCTGAGGTTCAGAGGACTGGGGCAGCTGCTGCTGCGACCGAGGTTTTTCCTCCCCGTTGGACTTGGACTTCTCAGAGTTCTCTGAGACAGTGTCAGCCCCATGGACCTTCCTGCGGCTCTCTGATGCGGTATGCGTGCGTTTTCGCTGCTTAAGAACTTCCATCCGGCTCTCAAAGTGGGTCTGGATGTGTTCGGTAGTGTCACCACCGCCGATGCTCCAGTGTATCAGGCCGCTGTCGAAGCTCTGCCGCTGCCCAAGCTTGGACGAATGGTTCAGCAGGAAGGGATTCTTCTTCCGCACCACCTTGATGGGAAGTTTATCAAACTTGCTTGCCTGTTTGGGCTTTTCAGAGTGGAGGTCCTGGGGTGACACTGAGGTAGAGGTATTGGGTTCCTTGATAGTAGTCTCCCTTTCCTTCTCCTCTTCCTCGTCCTCTGAAGACTTGTGTGTCTGTGAGCTCTCGTCTTCCTGTTTCACCTGGACCAGTGGGAGGGCGTCGGGATTAGCCTTTGATTCCTCTACCTCCTCATCCTCTTCGTCATCTTCATCCAGATCCATATCCTCACCCTCAGGCATTTGGATTTCATCATCAGAGTCCTCAGCAGCGTTGGGGTCTATGAGGGTACGCTGGCCTTGGTCTCCTACTTCGTACTCCTTTAAGATGCCAAAGATCTCAATGAGGCAGCGTCTGAAGTACTCCACCACCAGCTCCAGGAATCCAGGCAACTGAGAAAACCAAAGAAGAAAGTCACTTAAACAATCCTTTAAACTTACACATTATTGACAATCCTTTTGTAAAAATGAAAATCAACAGGAGCCGGTTTGTGGACCTTACCTGGCACAAGTTAAAAGTAGAGATGCTGTTGTCATCATACAGTAAAATGTTAACGGTGTCCAAGGCCCAGGTGCTTTCAGCTAGTAAACCCGACTTCAATGACATCATCACTCTCCAAGCCTCAGGAGTGCCTGTAAAAAAGATAAAAAACAGAATAAATATGAGCAAACTAAAGGCCGGAGGTTCATTAACTGAATAAACAGGGTTTTTAGAAACCGAACAGCTGAATGGAAAATACCCTTGACAGCTATTCAAATTAAGTCACTTTTATCTGTTTTATGATTGATTATTAGATTTCCATTAGCACAACCAGTAACATTAAAAGGCAAAGTCAGTGTGGTGGGCAGGTTGACAATCATCAGATATTTTGTGATTGAAAAAATAAACTGTAAAAGCTTCATACCAATGTCTTTCATGGTGAGACGCCTGCGAGGCTTCAGGTGGGGTTGGGAGGCTTCCACAGAGCCAGGAGGGAAGGCCACATCCCGTCTGATCATGGGTTGCTGCACGGGGGCCTGGCCGATGTGGGACGCAGGTACTGGGGGTCCGGCTTTCTGCACCTTAATGCCTGGGTGCATGTAGGGGGACTTGCTTGGTGACGTCCTACTTTCCATAGGCCGGGGCATGGGTGCTGGGCTTGACACCTGAGGAATGTGGTTCTGGGAAGTCTGGTAGGTGGATGGCAGGGGTCTGGTCATCGGAGATCCTGTTCCCCCGGGGCCAAACGGCGGCTGCCGCTGGTTGACATGGCCGGGCCACTGCCCCTCGTGGTTCATCCGTTGGTCTGGTGTCATCATCTCCTCAGAGCGGTTCATGCTGTGGTACCCGGGGCCTTGGCCTGGTACAGGAGGTCCCTGTCGGTTGGGATAGTTGGGGTAGCCCATCTCATTGCGACCCTGCCACATTGGACCCTGGGGGCCATCAGGACCTGAAGGCATGGAACTTGCCATCATCTGGGGAGGCATTGGAGACTGAGAATTGGGGCCTGCAGACGATGGTCCTCGGTCCCGGCCGAAAGGAAAAGGGAACTGGTTCTGTGGGCCTGGTGGTCTACGATCCCCTCCAGGGTACGCGTTATACTGGTTATACATGTCCTGTTGACCCTGAGGCCCCGAGGTCTGGGGTCCTGGCTGCTGTTGACCGCTGTAGGGGACGTTGTACATTTCTCCCTCATGACGCTTGGCTGGAGGACCGTACCCTCCATCCACAGGACGCTTGTAGTTCTATCAGAAAAATACAACCAGCATTATAATTAATAATCAAGTATTTCTGTACTGTCATTTTTAGAGGAATGAATGCATTCACCACTGTGACTTCGCTAAATGTTGTTTAGCGCTCATGATGGAGTAAGGTCTTTCCCCCTGCTCTTATGTAAAGTCTCTTGAGATTAAAAAAAACTATACAAATAAAGATTGATTGATTAATCTAGTCAACAAGTCACCAACATAACTGAGGGAGGCTATCTTAATAATTAAATAGTATCTTTAATCAGGGAAATGTATGAAGGAGAAGAATTAAGTCATATGAGGAGAACTCCAAATGCTGTACAAAATGTTCTCACCGGCTGCTGCTGTGGATACATTCCTGGCTGTTGATTTGGATATGGACCACCAGGGGGAGCTCCTTGGCCAGGGAACTGATTAGTATAGGAGTCATGCCTGAAAACAATAACAAATGTTCATATCATTACATTTCAAGTATTGTTTAACAGGAAATGTAATAGTTTACATATGAATCTCCAAAGCTGATAATTAAGGGGATTTAAAAAAAAAAAAACACACACACAACTATCTAACAACTACGTCTCAACAACAGTGTGAGCACTGAGAGGTACTGACCGTTGCTGTGGTGGAGGGCGGCTTGGCGAGTACATCCCTGTGTCGGCTCCAGAAGGCATCATGTTGGGCTGTGGGGGCTCCTGGTCCCATAGTGCCATCAGGACCCATGCCAGGCTCTGGTCTGTACACAAAAAAATACAAAAAAAACAAATGTGACCGATTTGATTAAGGTGATATGTCCAAGCACATTTGTACAAGTGAAGGCCTGAATCCAATGTCGTCCAAGAGCTTGTCAAAGGGCTAGTGATGAAACAATCTTAACAGGGGATTGTGATCAAAATGAGTTAGTATTATGATAGATCTACTAGCCTATCACACAGCAGAGATAAACACGACAACAGTCAGTCTGCATCTGTAAGCTCAAACCCCTGGACAGTCTGATCACTTTTTAACTCTGCAAGACATGTCACCAACACACAAAAGTTCCTGATTTTATTTTTTATTTTTTCACCATATCTTAACCTGATAACATGTTTCAGTCATTGGGTGTCTCGCAGTTAAGAGATGTACATGTCAGTCTGCGCTGATGTAAGCCGATGTTAGATGACTCACAGCCCCTGAGAGCTTCACAGAAACACCAATTCTAAGACATAAAACTGGTTTATTCAGAGTTTTACCAGTTTGCATGACTGGTTCTGTTCATTTTTGAGAGAAAAAACCTCTCTGGGTATTTCTGCTCCTAGTAGAAACCTCATGAATAATGACAAATAAGAGGAATCCTTCCCCTACAAACTGAGCTAGCATAGTTAGCTGCAGCTTAGCTTAGGTTGCAGCAACTCCAGACATCCTTTGTTTTCTAAAGAATTACAGACACAGAGATTTACCAGTTTTTATTAAGGTTAAAATAAGACAAATATGGTCTTTTAGGTCTGTAAAGGACAACTCTGGCATATATTTGTGAAGTATATTTTCATCTAAAAGACAGACTTTATGTTGACATAATTATGGATTTTGACTGATGTAGAAAAAATGTGACCTTACTTTGTTACCCCTAAATGTTTTTGTATATATAGATAATATGAACTACTACTGACCAACTCAATTTAAAGCAGTTTGTTTTTACCTTCGGTCATATCCATAAGGGTACTGTTGCCTCTGGCCCATCTGCATGTTGCCCATAGGACCCGGTGGGCCTCTGTTATATTGTTCTGCCATCCCACTGTTGGGGCCGGGTTGCATGAACTGCTCTCCAGCTTCAAAAGACACACAGATAATTGTTAGTGTTAACTCTAAGTCAACTGCCATAGCATAACGATATTTTGGTTTTTCTGTCGCGCACCTTTTCTCATGCCACCAAAGGGGTCTTTGTTAGACTCATAGGGACCCATTCGACCCATTATCTCTGGGCCGCCCATGCCAGGCTGATAGCCCTGTGAGTTGGGAGTCATGGCATTCCTTCTGGAAAATGCAGGGTCACCGCCGTCCGCAAAAGGGTCCTGCAGATTAACGCTACTCCTGCAGGAAGGAGGGGAGGTGTTTGTCACATTTACTGGCTCCTACATATTATCTTTACAGGAGTCACTCACAGTTGGTTTCAAATTTCTTTGGCAGTTCATTAGCACTTTTTACTACAGTCATAATAAAAACCCTTAAACTCCACTCTTTATACTTTGTTTATGAATCTACTCGTCTTTAACACTTATTATCCAGCTGGTTGTTTGTGTATACATGTTGTGCTGTATTCAGGCAGATGGCAGATGGACAACACCTTCTGAACGGCATAGAGAAAACAAAAACACAGTCCGACAGAATGGCAGAACTGCAAAACAAAACGCACACGACCATATGCCACGGTGCTGTTTCGTTTACAAGGAATGGAATACAATTCATGCAATACAATATGTTGTGTCTGTATTTAATGTAATTATTCTAGGAATTCTAGAAAACGTCTGATGGAAACCACTTTTTGTTTTTTAAATTCCCATTGAAAGATAAGGTCATTTATTGGTTTACAACATGCATAGTGAATGGAGTGTATACTTTGTGATTTCCTATAGAGAATTTATGTCATTGCATCAAAATCATGAGCCTATTGTTGTCCAGATTGACGTAAGACATGTGCTGCAAAAAGCTAAAATACTCTGGACTGACTGTCATCGACCACAATCCTTATTGGTATGCACTACCATCCTCACCTTTATTCACCGACCAATAAATGATATCCGGTTTCCTGTCTACCACCTGCCTGAAGCCATATGAACGCAGCATTAACATGACTTACGATTACATCACAAAAGCTACAGTTCTGTTGTATTTTGTTTCCATTTCCCATCTCACGGATCATGTTTTGCCAGAGGGATCACTTTCATTTCATCGTGATGACTGCTGATATTTTTAACATCAAAGAAACATGATATTGAGGCTTCCAACTCGTACCTGACACCAGGCATTGGAGGCATTTGTGTGTGCGGGGTGGAGGCCGGGGTGGGGGGCTTCAGGTCTCCGCCCTCTGCCATTGAACTACTGGTGGACTGCGGAGTCTGGGGTCCTTGCAGGGATCCAGAACCAGCTGCAAGAAAAAAAAAGACATACACACTTAGTGAGTGTTGAGATGCGACAATGGAGTCCTCAGGTTTGTAAACTTTAAAGATTCTTGCTGATTCAAGGCACATCCCCTGCTCCTCTCATCTCTCCAGGAACTAAAGTTGATGTCTGATAGTGAGGCAGGAGAGTCTTGTGGTTAGGCTGAGCACTGCTGGGGGACGATCAGGAACACACGCTGCTTTCGGCAATCCTAAATCCCATTAAGAAATTCCTGAGCGCTGCACAGAGGAACATGGTTTGTGTCAAGCTGTCTTGCTTTTTGAGTGCACAGCCAGCGAAAAAATGTTGAATCTTCCAGCTCATCACAGAATCATCCCCACCCCCCCACCCCACCCCTCATTTCACCCACTGCCAGTCGTCTTGAAGTCACCACGAAACAATGATCTAAACTCTGACTGTGACAGATTACAGCCTGACCTGCAGAGACAAGAGCCTGCAAGATGTGTGAGTGTGTGCATGAGCGTGAGTGATTGTTTGTGTTGTGTGCGTGTGTGTGCATGTGTGATATGCAGCTCTCGTCCTTAACTTCAGCTCAGGACTTCTCACTATTAGCACGCCAGTCTGATGACTCACAGGTTCCCATTCATTAAATTGGCACGCACACACACACACACACACACACACACATACACATACACACATACACACACAACAGCAAGGTCACTGGCAGGTCACATTTATTCACATTTTCTCACATCAGCCTCTCGCCTCTCTTGCTCCCTCTTACACACACACACACTAACTGACTCCCCCTCCTCCTCCCCCTGGGCAGGGATTTCCCTCCACTGAAGATGAAGGGAGGAAAGGGGAGGGGAGGGGGGATATCTCGTGAGGATGGAAAAAAAATAGCGTGGTAGAAACAGAGAGTCAGACTTTTACGCACACACATACACACACACACACACACACACACACACACACTCAAGCCTCCCCCCCCCCCCCCATTCATCATTTCTGGCTCAGCACTAATCTCCAGGGAGTGTTGCCTTGCCTCTGTAGCCCTGGGCCAGGCACCAGGCAGCGAGGACACACCACTGACAGAGCATCGCTATCGCCAAATCACCTCCCGCCCCATGCCGCCACAACCCCCCCCCCACCCCCCCTGCCCTTACTGTGCTATTCCTTCGTGCTAACTAGAGGGCTAATGCCAGCTGACAAGCACCCTGATGTCTCCTGTAACAACACCCCGATGCTGACTCACTGCCCCATGTCTGACAGCCTGGGCCTGCGCCAGACTGGAGCAACACGTGGTCATGCTCCTGGTGCGGCTGCTCCTGGCAGCGAAAACCAGAGTCCGTCCAAAATAAACAGCTTCCAGGCGACGCATCGTCCTGAGAAGCCCCCCCCCACCCCACCCCCCGACTGACTGCCAGTTCACACACTGACTTTTACCCAACATTCAGAGTTCATTGAAAGATTTGGCATGCTGTCGTTCACAGACAAATCAACCAGGGGGAGTCTTTCGTCATGTCCTGAACAAATGCCAAAGTATTCTCCAGAGAGATGTGTGTGTGGAACTGTCCAGAGGATGATCTGGTGCACTTCAATGACTTACAGCCACCACGCCGTCATTTACAGCTCTTCCAACACACGCCAAAAACAACTCTGATTTATGGAGAATGGCAGCCTCGTGCAGGAGATAACAGTTTAAGATCGGCTTTTAACTCTGCAATTAATAGGGCACAATAAAATGCAGTTCTTTGTCGGGCAGATGATGTGAGGCAGATACAAAAGGGGGATGTAATGAGGTGCACGGGAAGCACACTACACCCAAAGGAGAAGGGGAGAAAATAAAAACACTTGCACTGATTCAATATGAGAGTGATTTAAAGGAGCTATAAGGATTTTTTTATTTAGTGTTGACTCTGGCGGCTGCTATGTACAGAAGCAGTATTCTTGTTTTGTTAAGATCTTGATATAACAAGTATGAATCAATGTTTTGGAAGTGAGTGAAAGAAAATATTTTGTTGGATTAAAATCTCCACAAAGTAGATTTAACTCGGGACAAAAGCAGGGAACGAAAAGAAGAGATGCCCGGGCTCACCTGGGCTCGGAGGCTGGATCTTGGGCTGGGTCTTTTTGGTGTCCGTGTTGAAGAAGTCTGGGGGCGGGTCCTCGCCGCGCTCAATCTTGCACTCGAAGGCGTACAAACACTGGATGTACTGTTTCTTGAGCGAACTGGCCGCGCTGCTCGACGTGCCCACGTTCAGGTTGGTGGCCAGCTCCCTCCACTTCTTGTTCTTGTTCACCTGGTGGGCGACAGAGGAAGGAGGAAGCTCACAAAGCTGCACACAACAAACAGCCTGGTAGGAATGAACAACTGTTTGTTTGGTTTTTTTTCAAAACTCTGTGATATTTAAATCAAAATCAGGTGGAAGTCTTGAATACCTGTGTGAGGCCGCCGATCTCTTTGACAGACACGTAGAGTCTGAAGAGATCCAGAGGTTTGCGTCCCACAGCAGGCAGGTTATTCATGCCCATGGCCTTCTCCTCAGCGAAGGCCAGGAATCGGTCCACCCACATCTTCCTCTCTGGCTCCGGGCCGAGCTCATACAGACGAGTGATCTTCTCGTTGGTGATGGTGGAAGAACTTGACTTCTACAGGACAGATCAATGAAGCGAAATCATGAGATGGATAAAATCTCGGACAAGCAGTGACAACATCATCATGTGGATTTTAGACCTTAATGTTATGTGGCTGTGCTTACCACTATTAAATATGATGGTGACAATACAACACACTATTTAAAAACATATATTAAAGCGTTCGCTGTCGCTGCTGAAATAATATAAATTTAACCAAATCCTGGCAACCAAATATGCTCACTTTTCCCTCCGTCCTCTATTACTTAAGGGTTGCTAGTTTGAGCATCATCTGATCAGCTACATAGTTTGAAGCATGGCCTCTATGAGTGTAATGCTGATGATTCTGCACGATCATGCAAGGATGATGATACAAATCCAGTTCAATGTGCAGCCCTAGAGGAGCTTGAACTTTTACCTTTTTGGATTCTGGCTTGGGAGTCCCTTCCACTTTGTTGTTCATCTTCTGAGCTGGGTTCAATTTTTCCATGCCAAACTCTGCACTGGGAGGCATACCTGGGTCAAAAAAAAAATTAAAAGATTACCCGACTTTAGTATCAATTTCATAGCAAACTTTTCACATGATCAGGGTTTCAGTGCTGTTTTTTTAACTCACCAGGTGTGTTGTTAGCCATATTTGCTCCCATTGGGTACGGCCCCGGTCCTGCCTGGTTCATCATACCGTGCATGCTGTTCATGCCAGGGCCGTATGGAGAGCCTGCTCCCATCATGCCCTGCGACATGTTGGGGTAGCCGGGTGGCCTATGGAAGAGGAGGCATAATTAGAATGAACACTGAAACAAAACTCCACTATTGAGACAAAGAGAGGAATGTTTTTTTATTCAAGGGTCCTTTTTTCCCCCTTTTCTTTGTTTTTGATTCTGTAGCACATCTCTACCCTTATCTCATCCTGGTTCAGCTTATTCTGTAGGAAACCAATTTATGTCATATGACTCCAGCATGGCCGAGCCCACGAGTGCCTCTCTGTAGGCTGAGCTGGCATCCTCGCTGGGGAGAGATGTGATTCACTGATGTCAGAGAGCATCTCCTTCTCTCCACTTTTTTCCTTTTCTCTCACAGATGAGTGTTTGATCTACTGCCATCTACTCTGCAGCACACCGAGGCACCAAAACACACAACACACCGGCTTGCATGTGGGACGAACCAATCATTGTTCAGGGTGCACAACCAGCATGTAGAGCAAGGACATATATTCTTTCAGCTAAGCGATGAAAAAAAAAACTCTTCAAGCTCTGGACATACTGACCCTCAACAGCTAACTGCTCCCTTCTGACTCATTCAGACTTGATTTGATACTGATCAGAATCAGAAAAGGCTCTGATAGAGACTTAAATGAAGGATCAGGTACAGGCAAGCTCTCCAGTCTATCTGCTGATCCAATACTGTAATTTATTGGCCCCTTAAAAAATCAATATGGTTCACAGGATAGCAACCAAACAACAAATCTTGCTGTGCTGCTACCGTCGATGTATTATCAGAGCCACAAACTATTTCTGTTTCAGGGCAGAATAGATTTCAGGATTTTTTACGTGATGATGGCAAACTGAATTAGCATGGTGGTAATAGCAGAGTGTGTAGTTTTAGTTAGAGCTTCCCTGTTTGGAAAAGTTTCACATTCAAAATCCGTGTTTCCACAACTGTTTAAAAGACTCAGCATACACTGTTAGCTGCTAGCTAGGCTGCTGCTAAGATTAGCCCTGCTTGTTTATTGTGTTCCACTTCGGTGCTCGAACAAGATAACACAAAACATTAATGGATCCCTTTTAATCTCTTTCTAATGTTATTTTGTTAGCTTCTTCTGACTGTCAAAGTAGGTCATAAATAAATGACATACGGCACTCATTCTCTGAATGTTTTTGTTGAGGTTTAATGAAAGTCTAAACCTAAGCTGGGCCACACTATAAAAATAAAAACACTTATTTAAGAAGCTAATTTTTTTAGACGCTGCTTGAGGTTTGATATCAGAACATCTCCATAGACGCTGATGCAGCCAGTCGCTGTATCACCCACCTGTTGTGTACGGAGTTTGTTGGTCCATGGTGCATGGAGGGGCCACCGTCCTTCCTGTTCATGCCTGGAGGGGGACACATCCCTGAGGCCACCTGAGGGGGCATGCCGGCCATGTTTGAGGCCATTCCAGGACCATAGGGCCGGGCGCCCATTTGCCCCGGACCTATCCTTCCAGGTGGGATATTCCCATATGGCGCCCCGCTGCCCTGACCAGGCATGGGGTTCATTGAGCCACCCATGCCGGGACCGCTGGGATAGTTGGCATTGGGCATCCCTGTGTAGCCGGGTTGCCGGGGGTAACCTAGAAGGGAAGCAGAAGGAATTAACTTCACTTAAAAGTTCTCAAGCTTTTAGACTGCGTAAGTATTTTTTACCAAACCACCATTCATTTAAATAATCCAGATGCACTTAGGTCATGTCAATGTTTTTATTTTATGCAACATCAGACATCAAGTGAGTCCATCTCACTTTCTAAACACAGTCAGATTGAATTAATGCTATTTTGTAATGATTAACATTTAATTTTAAGATCACTGCAATGAAGAAATAATAATTTGTAGTCACCGTTTTGGACAAATATGAAATTGAGGACGGGATTTGGGGTTTTGGTCGGGCCTTTTCAGCGAGGGGTCTTCGTACCACAAGCAGTACAGTTATCACTGATGGGTCATCATAGATTAAGCATGGTACCCAAAATATTCTGTCACACATGCTGTTTTCACTCTCTCTCTGACGAGATTTCAGCAGTCCAGCTCTAAATTTACCACAGCTCTGACAGGCAGCCGGATGAAGCGGGGCTTTATCTGGCCCTCGCTGCTCGCTGCTATGACTCATTGCAGAACTTCTTCAAAGCCCACAGAAACCATCTGAGACTTCAAAGTGAAGTGATATAATTTCATAAATATATGAAGTGAGAGGAAACTTCAAAGCCTTTTTCAAAAATCTGGGTTATCTCCGAAACTGTGGTGGTTGCAGGAGGACAACTGTAAACTCATTCATAATAATTTCAGAATCTTAAATTAAAAAAAAAAAAAAACACTGCATGATTTTTTTTTTAAAGCAACACCGTCCTCTCCTCTGTCATGAGACCTCACCTTGTGGACCGTACTGGGCCCCCTGTGGCCCGTAGTTGCCCATGGAGTTGTTCTGGGGATATGGTCCCATCCCACTGTGGATCTGACCTCCTGAAGACTGGCGTGGAGATAAGGCTGAGCCAGGTTGTCCAGGGGACCCATATGGAGGCATCTGGGGGTTACGCATGTACACTGGAACGGAATTGATAATAGACAATAGTTACACATTTGTTCACTTGTACAACAACAAAACACATGGTTCCTGCCCATGCCAGACTTTTGCAGTCTTCATGATAAATCTTTCACACTGTATTTGACATCAAGAGTACACAAAGCCACATCGTCAATGGGATTGTTAAAGCAACCTCAGAAAACTTGCATCTTCCTGTGCTGTATCATTCAGTACCATTTAAACTTCAGTCTTCCTGACATCCCGTCGCAGCTGCTCTGTCCATACTCCTACATTTCATTATGAAACAAATCTACTTAAAAAGAAACATACTAACTGGAGAAACATAAACATATTGAATAAAAACACATTATTACAGTTCCCACATAAGAGTTTAGTCTCTTATGATCTTCAGTTCATCCGCAGAAAAAACGACAAATGCAGAAATAAAAGAAAGATAGTCCCTTTTATTTCTACAGCAATGCGTAACTTGTTTTGTTTTTTTAAAGATTATTATTGGGGATTTCTGCCAGTCTTTGGTCGGACAGATATTGAGAGACGGGTAAAGGTGGGGGGAAGAGGTGGAGAATGACATGCAGCACATAATGTCAGGACGAGAAGGACTGCATCCGCTCGACACGTTAAGCTAATCCAGGGCCCCCTGTGTAACTTGTTTATGTTTCAATATATATGTAACTTTTAAATCGCTAATAAATACAGGTAAGTATATTTTGTTGTCTTTTGTGTATGGCTGCAGGGCACCCTGAGGTAAAACCCTCCGTCTCAGCGGTATCTCATTGCCAGAATGGACTTGGTAAATGGACATGAGCTTGTGGAGCGCTTTTTTAGTGTTTTGACTACTCAAAGCTATTTTACACCGCATGTCACACCTACCCATTCAAACCCATTCACACACTGATTTCAGAGGTTGCTATGTAAAGTGTCCATCAGAAGTAACCAATCCCATTCATACACATGCATATGCTGCAAACCAAGCAGCGAAGCAACTTGGGGTTCATTGTCTTGCCCAAATACACATAGCACATGTTGCTGCAGAAGCTGGGGATCGAACCCCCAAACTTTCCGGTTGAGAGACGACTGACTGAGCCAAATGAGCCACAGCCAAATAAAAGATAAATAAGACAAACAAAAAAATAAAAGAATCTGTCATGCTTTATATTTTATGATGCAATCGCCAAGAAAAACAATAGTTGGCAAACTTTTATTTTTCCTTGCTCTCCTCTTGTTTTCAACACTTATAATGACTTGAACAATGTTTCACTCTGTTCAATACTTTTTCTGTGAAGAAACCCTAAAAACACCTCGATAAAAGATACATGCATGTGCTGAAACATCCTGAATCATAACCCGTCATTGTGCTGTGTGAACACCCCAGCTCTTTACCTTCCTACAACACACAGCAGTACAGTACAGTGTGTCTGTCTGCCTGTACCCTCATTTGACCTAACTACAAGCACATTCTTATTTAAGATACAGCCTGGGGCGGTGTTTACAGGGGCGAGGAATGCATACAAATGCAAACAAGCTCTTCATAAAGCTCCTGAGGACGTGGCACACTTCTCACACTGTTGGACAGCGAGCTGAGAACAGTGTCATTTACTCTGTTTCATGCCCCTTATAAAACAATCCGGCTCTGACTCAAAGCATGACTCTTGACTCACCCCTGTCCTGGCCCATCGCTGACTGGTTCATGGTAGAGTGCATGATGCTGTCCGACTGGACGCTGGGCGGCCGGGGAGGCATCTGATTACCTGCAGGAGAGAAACACCAAGCGTCGGCAAGTTGAAAAGGATTGTAGATTACCTTCAAAGGGATGTGCTTAGACTGCTGGTCTTTTATTGTTTTGAACCTTTGGACATATCAACCATGAAGGGACCAATAGTCTATCAAACCAATACCTTAAAGATTCAAATTTAAAACAAAGAGAGACTAAAAAAGCGTCCTGTTGGCTTCTCCTCAAACTTAGCTCTCCACAATCGCTGTCACAGCGTCTGTTCCTCAGGCGTCCGGATGGTTTACTAGCATCATGTTGGGAGAAAAATGTTCCCATCTGGCAAACCACTTCATGAATTACAAATGTGATCTGTTGGATGTTGTTTCACACAGATTCTGACTCTCTATATGAAACATTTATTCAGATTTTGTCACCTCAGTAGATACTTTTAGCCAGTCCTATATTTTTCACTTTGCACCCTTTAGTTGAAGAACTAATAATTTAGTATGCGGCTATATTACATTGGTACATTCTTTGATAATACAATAGCTTGAGTTTTCAGATACTCCGTCCTGTGTTTTCCTTTCCTCTCATTACACTGAACATATTTAGTATGTTGTATTTTTATCAATAAGCATGTACAGGCCTCATGGTTGTCTGATGCATGAAGTACTGTATTCCCTTTATGTTCACATTATTGCACATAGAAATATGGATTTGGGACTTTCAAAAGCCTCTTAATGATACTTACATTTCAGGCCTTAAATCTGAAATGTTTTTATTTGACAAAAGCTGCTACACTAAGAGGTATAACATAAAAAACAAGGTTTAGAAATATGGAACCCAGATGTGTTTGTATCTTAGTTAAATATTGATTTTTTTTTTTTTAGACATACCACAAGATGTCTTCCGTCTGCAGAACAATAATATACTGGTAAATAAACGCTTATTTCTCAAGCTCAGTAAGTGCTCTGTGGTTACCTGGCACAGCAGCAGGGGACAGAGGGCCGGTGCGGGATGGGGTGACGCTGGCAGGGGACCCCACAGGTGATGGCGAGGGCCCGCGAATGCCCGGCAGGTGGGGCGACGTGTGCGGAGAGAAGGGCGATTGGGCAGGATTGCTCTGCTCACCCTGACTGCTGGACACCCCTGAGGTGCTGACGCCGGGGCTCAGAGCGCCCTCTGTACCGGTGGGGAGGTCATCGATGGAGCCCGACAGATCCTGGAACAAGAAGGGAAACATGGCTTAGTGATGAAAAATTGAAGAGTGACATCTTTGAGACATCATTGATTTTCTGTCATTGAAAGAAATAAACAATTGACTTTAAACAGAATGGAAGTGATATTTTTGGCACATTGTTTGGCTGACAAATTGCATGAGTAATAGCTAACTGCTTTGCAAAGAGCAAAGCTTCAAACATAGATTTCGCCTTAAAACTAATCCCCGAACCCTGTAGTAAATCGATGTGCCAGTTTTTTAATAATGAGAAACATTTTCAGGCTGGTAAGACATGTGGAAACTTCCGTTGAAATGCACCAACTCTCACGTCAAATGTGCTGTGAACTTGAGCGGAAGTGTTTGCTTTGGTTCTTTTTCGAGCCAAAAGCAGAAAGCACATTTTGCAGGAAGAGATGCTAAATGTTGGAGACAGTTTTGGATTTCAGAACGACAACCACCGGCATGTTTTCTGGAGAGTGCATGTAGATTTGTGCAAGTAGATTTTAAGGCAAGGTGCACAGATATATACTTGTTTAGCATTTTGATTTCTGCTTGTAAAAACAGCCATGACTAAGGTACTGGTTGCTTCCTGAACACCCTTAAAAACAGGTATGGACTGACAATTATAATTTTTCAGAACAAATCACTTCATCAAATCGACATCTTCAGAAGGATGTTTTGTTTGACTTTGGACTAAGATTATTTGGACCCTCATTAACTTTTGTTTCACTTTTCCTCATCTTGAGTCCCAGCCTGATACGTTTTAATCACTCCTATGTACAGCCCATACACTTTACGTCCCTCACATTGTACTTAAATTGTAATTATCCTAAAAAAACTGAGTACTGCAGAAGAAATGAAGCTGTTGTTTTTTCCAGTGCAGTGATATACATTTCTGTACATAAAACAAAACGAGAGAATTAAAGAAAAAGAAACATATCAGTCCTCTGAGGAAGATCTGGTTATGATGAAGTGGAAACCTGATACATAACAACAAATGCAGGACAATCATTTTTTCCAGAATGTGCTTTTATCGAAGAAGTACATTTTGTTTCAGAGTCATGTCAAAGTCAAGGGAAGTCAAATCCAGAGAGCAGACATCCATATGGCCTCTGAAGCCTTGCAGAAATCTTTGCCATCACTGCGGTGTCTGTTACTCTCTCATGCAAGCCTGCCAGCCCTATCATGTGACAAACAAACACTCAGGTACAGTGAACTATTTTTACGTCTTTTTTTTTTTTTTTTTTTAAATCACTCCTTTAACGCTGATAATGATCCATCTTGGCAAGGAGGACACCGTTTGTTCAGCGTGCAAAGAGAAAGTGGAGGGAAAAAAATATATTTGAAGCAAGTCATCTGGGGAAGCGGTAGAAATAATTGGTGCTGGGCACCGGCTCTGATGCCATGTGGTGTTGTTACCGAGCTTCGCTGGCTGTGACACAAAGACAGACAGGCGGGCGGGCGGGAAGGTAGCGAGGCAGCCGGCGATGATTATGTTTGTGAGAAGGTGAATGTTTACACACTGGCCACTCACGTGCAGCCCATGTGCTCGCTCAGAAATGCAAGCTCATCTGCCAGTCACATCAAGGGAGGGAAAAAAAATGAGAGGGAGGGAGGGAGGGAGGGAAAAAAAAACACTCATTGGAAGGTGGCCAACTATTCCCATAGAAATCTCACACTCACAGGCTGGCTGCAGCCCCGAAGCCGGCGGTTTTGCACTTGAAACAGCGCCCGTTGCTATTTTTGGGACATGACCTGATGGAGGAACCCCAGAGGGAGTGACAGGAGGAGAACGCTGATTCAGAACTCAACCCTCCCAATCCTCCCCCACCCTGCTCCCTCCATCTCTTCCTGGCTGCACAAACGCCGGCCCTTTCTGACCCACACGGGAAATGTGGAATCTACTAAACCATGCAAAACACAGCAGGAGGGTTTTATGTTTGAGAATAATTGAGAGTTTCATTGGATGATTCCCAATTAATGTTCAGAGATGTAAAATCGGGTCAGAACACGGCAAAGCAACATGGTGTGAACAACAGAGAGCGCCGAGATCCTAATGCTCAGGAGCAGAGAGCAGAGATCAAACAGCATGACATTCCTTGCTTAAACAACCATGACGGATCCTTTTTCCAGAAGCCAGCATCGTCAGCTGACCCGAGTCCCCCCCTCTTCCCACCCAGCACCGCCCCGCATCCACTCAAGACATCACAAGACCGGTCATCTGACGAGAGAGCGCTCGATCTGAAGGCACCGGGGCAGGCCACCAAGATGACCACCTCAGCAGCAGCTACACAAACATTCTGCAGAGATCCATGCTCAGACCACAGGGCAAAAAGGTCAGGGGTTAATTCCTCGAGTTACTTCAGGGAGTCGCATCCTAGCAGGGGGGTCCCTGTCGACGACTACATAACATGCACACAACCTTTGGCCAAAAGGCAGATCGACAGACGGAAAAAGAAAACCCAGACAGCAGCCTTCAAAATAAGAATTTGAGGAATGTTATAAGCTAAATGAAGATCACATTTTTGGTCACAGTTCAACTTTTTCAAATATGAAAAAACGATCTAAAAACGTCCATTGAGTACTTCAGCAAATTGTTCATTCTTTTTGAACGTATCCTCCAATCTTATCAGAAATGATGGGCTATCAAAATCACGCATCTCTAGGGAAAAGGACATTTGAAGGCTCTTGGTGAGGCCAACAGATTTCCGATTAAGGTTACCTGGGAGAGGACTTCCTCTTCTGTGAAGCTGATGAGTTCTGTACGGGTAAATTACTGATGTGGGTAAAGTCTGTTGTGGAAGCTAACCTCCCTCTCTTTTATTCCATCTCTCTCCAATCGCTCTCTGTAATTTTCTAGGTTAATAAAAAGACATGAATAAAATATGTGTGGAAAAAAAGTCCAAGGTTGAATAAGACTTGAAGTTCTTCTTTGACTTAAACATTTGATTTAATCAGGCATGTGCAAGGCAAAGGGCAAAAAAAGCAGGAAAATGTTCAGCAGGGTGCTGCACATGTCAACATTTTAACCTCACAAATATAACCTGCAGTTTTTGTGTTCAAGTCCTCATACTTGTAACCCTTCTACCTCGAGATGCACCGTTTAGGAAAATCAGAAACTAAACCAAATCCTAAGATTTTTCAAAAAAACGTCTTTCCCAGAGACGATGCGACCCCAATGTTGCCTGAAAATGTATTTCACATTTCACCGTTAAAACAATTCAGGGTTTGTCTAACAGGCAACTTCTTCTGTCCAATAACAGCCTCTTCTCTGGTTCAGCAGTTGAATTAAACGCTTTATATCGATGCAACACAACAGACCGACAACGGCTTCCACATTATTTGCAGATAGGCCGATACCAACGTTCAACCAATCCAACGGTGCATCACAACTTGCAACACACCTGTGTCGTTTGCAGACATGCTCATATTACTTTGGAGTAAACATGCAGCACGGCAAATTATAACAAATAGCCAAGCAGGCTTACGGCCATTTTTTCCCTCCAAAATTTGCAGGTTGAGTTTGAGTAGAACACCCTAACTAAATTAAAGTGCAGTGGGTTAACTTCTCAGGTTGGAAAATCCCCTAAAATCAAAGCCCTGTTAAATGCTGGCATACTTCGGAAGTTTGGAAAGGTGTAGCTGTTGTTGTTAAATTAGGTTTTGAAGAAATCTTTTTCATATTGCGTTAAACTAGGCGTGGTTTGAGGTTACATTTTTAACACAGCAGCAACACAAAACAATTTTGGATAGGATGTCCTATGACTAAACTAAATTACAATATTTATTCCGGATGATGCACACTGGTATTTACTAGGGCACTCAGGTGAGGAGTAAAAATAAACGAGAGCTATAACACTACCTGTTTGGATACCATGGCAACAGAATATTAGTGTGGAGCACCAAATATTGGTTGATTTGTTATTTTCAAGCAACCACCTGCACTCGGTCTAATTGCACAAATACATACGCAACAAAAACATGTTTAAAGAAAGGCGGTATCAAACATTTTGGTAACTTAACCTTTACTAAAAAAAACAAGGAAATCAACAAACACATGCACGTATCCACATGCCAAATAGGCTGCATGTATGCAGCATGGAGGCCGAACTCTTAGTAAGTATCTGGCAACTGACAGCTCTGATCCCTTAGCCTGGGTAAGCAGAAACATCATGTACACACACACACACACACACACGCGAACAAACACACACACACACATTCAAACACACAAGCTCCAACCTACTCCCACTCTGCAGTCATTGATTTTTCCCAACTCAATACTGCACAGCACCAGCCTGTTCTGCTGACTGCACAAGCTGGACAGCGAGAGGAGAGGAAGAGGAAGGGAGGGGGAGGGGGAGGAGGGGAGGTGGAGGAGGGGAAGGGGAAGGGGGAGGTTTGTGATACGGATGCTGCTGTGGCTCTGCTATTTCAACACGCTCATCATTAGAGGGTGAATGATGAAGGGGCCATGGATCAGGCATGAGGAGGAGTTGAGGGACAGTTGGAGTAAGGGTGTGCGAGCGTGTGTGGAGGGGGTGGGGTGTATAAGAGGGAGCTCAGAGGGAGCAGTATTAAAAGCACGACAATTAAAGCGGCTGATAACACGAGTACACACAACAACACGGCGTTTTTCTACATGCAGGAAAAAAAAAGGGGGGAGCTATGTGAGCTGTGTTGTGGAGAGAAGCAGAGAGCTGCAGCTATTTTCTGTGGAGCTCCAAGCTCCTCTCTGTGGCAGCCATTTTGTGTTTTTCACAGCACTGCCTAACATGGAACTTCAGAGCTAAGAGAAAGCTGCAGAACAGTGTTTGTAATGTTGTCAGCCGGAAGAGAGGCAAAAAAATTCAAGGTTTGAACGACGTCTGGAGTAAATAGTTCAGTTTAAATCCTTTAAAAAAAAAAAAATGCAGTTATTTGTTATATTTGTACAAAAAAAAAAGGCAGAAAGTCTTTACTATTCCTATTATTCCCATATTCTCCACTCTCACTGTGAGTGT